GACACTCAAAGTTTTTGTTTTATAATACCAAAGATGATATGTCTGTAAAACCAATTACAGTTTTTGTGGCAAAGTGATGAATATGATATTTATGCTGTACCACCTTTTCAAGAAAAACTCAGCTCTATATCTGCAAAAATTGTATTTAAGTTTTAATTTATTTTTCTGACTTTCGCTTTTTACTTTCCAGCCTCTTATTTACTGGTGTATAGTTTCCAGTCATAATTCTTCTCTAGAATTTTTCCACTAGAGCCAAAATTTTTTTTCGTGGGGAGTTCAAGCTTCCCGCAAAGGAGCAAATATTTATGAGTTAACAGCAAAGCCGGCGGCTTTTGCACTTTCAATTTCTCTACCGGTAATTTTCAGTTACACCAATTTAAGATATAGTCTGTCGAAGAAACTGGTTGGGCAGGGCACCTAATATTTTAAAAAACGGCGTGTCACTTACTATTTGAAAAGTATGAAACAGGGGAAGAACAAAGGCAACAACAACTACTAAGAGTTCTCACTAATCTTTAGGAAGTTTCCTCTAATTTTTCAAACAGTTCACAAATACATAAGTGTAAGCTAAGCATAATTTTAAAGCACAGTGCATTCTAACGACCAACTCAGATGAACAGTAGGTTCCAGTTCCGCTTTCCATTCTTTCTATTAAAAAAAATTTGCCATTGTCAAACTAATTTGTACCTGTAAGAAGAAGACCAAGGTTTTTTTCATAAATCTTTTTTTTTCCACGGTTTTAATTTTGCTAATATTTACATTGAGATAGCTGACAGCTTGAATTTTCGCAACATTTAACTATTTTTTGTCGTGTGTGCTACTTAGGTTTAATCTAAATACTTTATTTTCTCCCATCGTCACTTTCCACTTTTCTAATAATCTATTAAAGCAAAAAGAAAAGTGTGTTTTGTTTGGTGGTGAATGTGGTCGCCAAAAGAAAAGATGGAATAGTTAAAGATGAATTGAAGCTAAAAAATAGCGAAGAGAAATAAAGAATTAGGAGCTGAGATTTAATTCTATTTATTTGTCAAAATATGCGGAATGACTTTAGTAGAGTGACGATGACGATGATGAAGACCAAAGTGGTGATGATGTTTATAATGATGGCTAGTTGAAGCAACAAAAGTCTGTCGGATAGCTATGTGTTGAAAAACTTTGGAACTCAGGTCAATGCAAATTTAAGGCTATTAATACTAACAGTAATTTTGTTGTTGCTGTTGTTTTTCATTCTGAACAATTCAGTTTTCCTGTTGCTTTTTGTTAAACGCCAATCTTATTATGTATTTTGCTAGCATTATTAAGCGATCATATGATGATGATGATGATGGTTGTAATATCCGCTTCCTCTATCTGCTCTAAAACCTCTCACTTTCATCTTTTATTAACTAGTTAAATCGTTCTGTAGAAGTAATGCGAAGAACAGGACAATTATAAGAGAAAATAACTACTAAGAAACTATGGTTTGGTAAATTCTATGGTGCATTTAGGCAAAATGATTCAGTTAAAGAAAAAAAAAAAAAAAATATCGTAACTGGAAATCGAATGAGTTTCACATTTCACGATTATTAATGGAAATGTGTAACACAAAAACTTCTCCAAAAAAAAAAATTGGTGATTATAAAATGGCTGTTA